ATCTTGTCTTTCCTTCCTCCCCCTTCCCCCTCCCTCCAGCTGCCACGGCAGCACCATGTAGAATGAGACTGAGTTTGCTCGATCGGTGTTTATATAGCCGTGTGAGTGCTATCATAATCATGACATCAAAATCACGAAGTTAGCCCTTCGAGCTTTTGGTTCTGTTAGCGGTTTGTTTATTCCGCTAGCTGCCTTATCACTCACTTCATTTTGCGGACGGACAGACATACATACATACAAACCGACACACCAAATTTGTGGTTTATATAATGAAGTGATCTTGACTTCAGGTGATCGCCCTGTACTTCTCGGCGATGTGGTGTCCGTCATGTCGTCAGTTCACTCCTAAGCTCGCTGTGAGTGCCTGCTGACTGTGTTCAGCTATTCGTAGGAATTTCTCCGAGATCATCGAGACGCATGTATTTGAAAATCGTTCGATTTCAGAGGTTTTACAAAACATTGAAAGAATCAGGCAAGAATTTGGAGATTGTTCTTGTGTCACGAGATCGCGAGGATGAAGACCTGAAGGTAAGGGAGAGTTTTCACCAAGACGTCGCCATCTCAAGCCGATCAGAACAAAGCGGGATTGCCGTGTAACGGCAACACATTATAAAGCAGCCTAAAATTTGTGAACTGAAGGCTAGTCGGATACGGTGTGCCATACACTTTGTAAGGTTGACGGAGAAGAGGCCAAAACCTCTAACTATAAGCTCGTTTCAAGTTATACCAATTCGTAAAGGCGGATGTTATGATGGTTGAGGTCAATGAAGGCAAATCATATCCAGTATTTCAAAGGGAGGCAGGCCTCTCGAGGGAGCGGTACAAGGCGCGTTTTGCTCAGAAAGATGCGCTCGTAGCTGCTCGAAGGAGCCATACTTGCGGCGTTGAGTTCTGTCCGTGGCTGTTAGCTCCCACCGAATAGGTCAGTCTCGCCTTGGAGACTCTAGACGCCGACCCCATTTTATCAGATAGCGAAAGCAGAGCGTCACATTGATGACTAAGCACCAATGAGACTCGATCAACGCTGGAATCAAGAGGGAAGTAAGGTGCTACGTGAGTTTGGGACTTTTTCCAGTACCCAGGGCTTGTGAATTATGGTGAGGTACTGTCCGTGAAAAGCAGTTTGGGCGGAAGCATTCAGCCGTGCGGGGCAAAGCTTCCTGCCTTGCGGTTCACCGCCCGATGTCGGCTGACCGAATGCTGATACGTTTGGCGAATATACCATGAAAGCACTCCCCTATGGACCTAGGTATTCTGACGGACAGTAGTTCCCGCATTTTCATATCGCATTCTTGATTAGCGTGAAGAAAGTTAAAGGCACCGATATTCAAGCTTAGATTCTGTGAATGATTTCCCTCAATCATCGTTGATGTAGGGCGGAGTTTGTGGACCGCCAGTGGAGAAAAAGGAAGGAAAATTCCTGAAATACACAGGAAATACGAGCCTTTTGCTCTACGTTGCGGAGAAGTTCAAAAGGCCGGCAGGGAGATGAGAGATAATGTGAGCGCGGAGAGCGGTAGAGAAATCCGAGAAGAGAGAGCATAGCAGATCAACGCAGCGACGCAGACAAAAGATATCGAGCGGTGGGCGGAGCGTGTCGCAACAGGAGGAGCGTGTCAAGTCCTTGGCCTAGAGCCTAGTACGCATTTGGAGCGCGAACTTGACGAGTAACCTGTCCACTGTGTCACCATGCACTTCTAACCACTTTAAGGGCTTGTTAGGTGGGTCTAAGCCCGAACTTTGCCTTTAAGGTGAAACGGTGCCCCGGTAGTGAATTGTGGCGAATTTGCCCGGAATGCGAGAGGTGTGGGCTTGAGTCCCGCTTGGGGCGGTTTGTTCATATTATTCATCCATAACATTTATGTATTCTCTGGTAATTCATATATACTGTTCGCAGCTTCACCTTTTAGCGGTTCTGCTTTCACTCTAACATCGCCAATTCGGCGTATCATGTGCCTTTATTATACGGTCTTCGGAGAATCAAGAATGATATCTCAGTTGTGATCTATCGTAGTGGGTGAATGAGTTAGTGTCCATGATCAACCTGTCCCTCAGATAAGCTCTCCTTAGTAAACACATGTCAGTTCGCGCATTGATATTGTACGCGCTGCTGCTGGTATACTTTCATTTCGACTAATTGGCATGAACCCCTAGTCTAATGCGGCGATATCAACTATCGCTGCTGATCTAGGTACCAGAGGAGACATATTGTTTCCCAGCTATCCTTGGATTTTATCAGCCATTTTCAAAGCTTATTCTTAAGCATTTTCTGACAAGCTGTAGGGAATCATCTGCCTTTTGCGTTCAGTAAATCATCTGCTTTTTGTTTAGGAATACCTAACGGAGCACTGCGGTGGCTGGCTGGCAATTCCTTTTGGCGACGAGAGAATTCAGTAAGTCCTCAACATACATACATAATTCAATTTCATTAGGGTGTTCGGGTAGTCTAGATCAAAAGCGCAACTAAATGAGTGTGTCTAACGAAAGAGGAGGCTCGGTGTTGCGTTACCATGGCCGTCTTTCACTCCTGCTTTTTCCTAATTTCAATACATTTTATTCACCAATAGCAACTCAAAAGGTGCAACGTTTCCTTATAATCACCCCTGGCTCACTGAAGTCTGAGACGTCCTTGGGCTTTCCTCTTCCTTACCGTCGGGCTCACATTATAACGAAGCGGCTCTCCAGTAAAACTAAATTATTGTTTCAATAAGGGTCGCGTTCAGCAGGTTTTCCTATAGTCTCTCCAAGCCCCAGAGGCGAGGTTTTCACCCAGTTGTAGTTCTGCGCTCAATCATATTCACTGGCAGTTCTTTCACATGATCTTACTTGCATGTCCTGAACATGTACTTGACCTTTTTTTTTTCAAGAACTCTTGTTCTGAAAAAAAATTGATTAGACTCGGAACAATTTATGAATTGTTGGAGCATAAGTATGTAGGTCTGTAAAAGCATAAATGTCCTCGTGCTTTACGGACTGGATTCCTGTTTAAGAGAGTCAAAAATCCGCGACAATAATGCGCTCGAGTGCGCCTCGGCGAATGCGAAACCACACCATATCGAAATGAACAAAGATGATAAACTGTAATTCGTAGTGAGGGGGAGGGTGGGGTGGAACTGAAGTGCAAACTATTAAAAACGGCCCGTTTACCTTTTCAAAGACATTAGTAAGGCGAAAACGCAAGTTATTGATAAATGGATCTTGACGAGATCAAGCTTTTCCCTTCAAACTGGGTCTTCCATCCTTTCACATTGGCGGACCGAGGATTTTTGGTGTCCCCAAAAATTACGTCTTTCTACTTTTGTGTTGGCCAAAACAGTGAGAACCCAATGCGAACTCGCATTGAATTTTCTTTTGTCTCGAACAAAATGCTCAGTGTGTGTCAAAAACAAGACATCTCCCTCATCCAGCCCAACGAGAAACTTGGACGCCTCTCGTGACATTCCAATATTTTTCTCTATGAACACTGTGAATTAGTTGAGACAAAAATCTCTTCTTGGCCAAGTGTTCCATTGCCCTAGCTTATTGCAAACAGAAAACAGCTGTAAATAAAAAAGGGTAAGCTTAACCTTGAGGTAGCACTTACGAGCTTTCTTTCTGTAAAACGCTCACTGTGAAAGATGTTCAAAGAAGATGGCCATCATAAGTACTACCATGCCGGATAATATGGCACCGCTAAAAATTTAGAATCTGGGCGAAGGTATTGAATTTTAGGGGTGTCGCCCGCTCGCCCGTAGAAATTGTCGCCAGTGTATTTTGAGAGCAATGGCGAGACATCGAAAGAGAGGTGTGGGAATAAAAGAAACTTCCGCGCGTTTATCTCAACAACGGCGGACGTCTAGCAGGGTTGTTCACTCAACGGCGGAAGCACATCGATGTGCTGTGCACCAAACATCTGGTTCGCGCTCATCTACACTAACTCGTATTAACCTGATCTCCTGCAGTGCTTCTATGACTGGAACCCATTAAGAATAAATAATATCTCTTAGTGAGCAACTTGATTTTAATCTTTGATCCAGCTGTCATAGCCTTTGCAAAAACAGTAACCTGTTCCTTTCAGGGAATTTCTGGCTAATATGAAGTGCCAACGATTCCAGCGCTGAAGGTGCTGAATCCCGATGGCTCCATTCTAATCGCAGACGCTCGGAATCAAGTTCAGGTACATTACGATGTATAAATCAACAGAGCAAAATTTTCACTCTGTTTGCAACATTTCGGTATTATCAGCATCAACCGGCTATTGATTTCTGTGAATAGCGGAATGTAGAAATAGGAAATATTAAATTTGAGTGGAGTGATTGATTTTTCTTAGTTCTCTAGTTCGATTTTGCGAACAAAACAGGATTATGAGAACATTATATTTTGGCGAAGAGGCATTTTTTGCGTATTTGCTGCGTGGAACCGACTCATTGCCTCCAAGTTTCAAAAAATGTTTTTTAATGTTAGAAGATACACCAGCATTTATACCTCAAGGGAAAAAAGTCAAGGGTAAAAGAAACTGATGTGATTTCGATCGTCGCCCTTTGCTATCTGCCAGACCAGCTATAGGTTGTGCAATAAGTAGTGTTGTCTTTTCCTGAATAAAAACTTTGGCACTATTTACCCTTTACTGCCCCACTCCTCAAGAACTGAGCCGGATTTTTTATCGAAATTTGTCCATGACTGTGGATTTGGCTAGAAACTTGCCTTCAGGGGTAATTTCGACCCGTAGAACACGAATATCACATCAGTTTAGATCGACAACGCATGGCGTCCGCGGCTACAGGCGCCGGCGCTCCAGCCGGAAGCTGCTACATAGTTTCTTCAATTGCTTAGGTGATGGGTAGCCTCTTAAAGGCAGTAGCTCTAAATGTGCAGGATCCCTTCCTGAAAGCGTTTCAGATAACGTCGTAATAGTCCACGGTCCGTCGAGCACCTCGTTTAGCTTGAACCGCGCACCCATGTTCCCGTGACAAATGTGTCCGATGTCGTGGGTGTAGCAGGCTTATACGAAGTATTTTGAGAGATTGGCATGTCCTCTTCAATTTGCAATTGGGAGTATTGAGGTTGATTTACCAATGTTTAACTGATTCAGTTTTAACCTTGGAAGGAGACCAGATTTGTTTTACTGGCGTCCCCCTGTAGGTTCCCTTTTGGAATCTTTCTGATTTCTGCTAATTTGGTTGAAGGACAGCGATTACGATAATTCAAGAAGGGTTTAGTGTGACGTGGTGGTGCTCAATGGTACGCCAGTAGCGAAAAAAGCAGAAAATCCGTCAAGAAAACGCAAAACGGGACCCCCTTTTTTGGCCGTTGGTTTTCACTCGTGAACAGGTAACAGCTTTTTCCCTCATGAACAGGTAACAGCTCAGAAACCGGACGTATGAACGAGTTCACCGCAACGCGTTTGATGGCACCATGCCAAACACGCTTCAATCGAGATGCTCCATTTGCGCCGCTGCTGGCAACGCAGCTCGTCCAAATCACCAAGTAAACTAGTGGGCGGATCGCTTTTGGGGGCGGAGCGCTTTCGAAGTCCTGCTCAGCAACACCTTCGTGTGAAAGCGCCACATCTCGCTTCCCTGGCAGCCAAGTAACTGATTCGTGTGGTGCACATGCTTCCCCGATGCGCTCCCTCTTTATCGTAATCGATTCCTTCAAGAAACGATAAAAACGGAAAAGAAATGAATTTCACATTTCGCCCATTTTCTCAAGGAATATTCAAATTTGAGTTCCTTAAATATCGTTATCTTTTTATATATTCAGAACTCATGCTTTCGATTTGGTGGTGTACCATAGTAAGTTTTTAATCTGGAAGTGATCTGAAGATATTCAGGAGAAACGGACCGACATCCGACCAGGTTGAGCTCTTTGATGAGTGGCAAGAGAAACTCAAAGGATAACGCCGAACTATGGAATCTCCTACAGCATGAAGCTGTGCACCTACTTCACTTTACAAGTTGTCGTCTTCATTACATCGTATATAACGAACAGCCCTGCTTAATTCGCACTGGAATATGCTTGTGTTACGCTACTGTTCAGTCCAATGAATTTCAGAGTGTCCGTTTTTGTTCCGAGACCTGAGACAGTGTACTTGAGAAAAGCTAAGATTTCCTTCCTACATCTGTCATTTGTGTTGGGAAAGTGATATGTATCGATTTTTACTTAAATAAAGTTCGTAATCTTGACCATTTGCAGACTTAGGAGGCAAATAAAAGAGACGGCGTGTTCCTGTCCATGCAGTGCTTAATTTTTTGGCCCTATTCAATATTTCAGTGCAGCAAATTTTATACTTCTGAATAAACGGGCTGGACTTTTTTTTCAAGATATGCTTCTGAATATTCGCTAGGAACGGGTTAATTCTTACAATCTGTGATCAAATATAATCGCCATAATTTCTGGCGCATAGGCAGCCTGGCGCAGGTACTACCTCATCCATTTCGTGCCGACGCCTTTGGCACAGGTTTCGAACTCTTTCTCTCCAATTGAGATTTTTGTGTTCTCTCAGCAATATCACCCATAGCGAGGCAAGACTCTCGTGCGGTTTAGGCCCGGTCCACTCTGTCTGTACTCATTGCGGCCCGAACACTTGCCGTAAGCTCAGCCGGCGCCCGCGGATGAGCCCACACGCCTACAGTTAGTGGATCATGGGCCAATTTTGGATAGTGCAGTCATTCTTCATTCATTTATGAAAATCGTTGCTAAAATTATGTAGTGATCATAGATGGCAACTTTGCGTTATTTTATATAATGATATGAAAGTTCTCTCTGCATCGTCAGCGGTTCCCCCCCCCCTAACCCTTTGACTACTGGTGGTACACATGTGTACCGCTTCCGTAGTCAAAGGCACTACCACAGTTTGGGACTTAAACTGGAACTAGAGTGTCCGCTTGATGGCAGAATTGTGCACACATAGAAATGCTATAATTTTTACCTGAAAACAAATTGCCACAAGCCAAAGCGAGTTAAAGGATAAAGGATAAAGCATTTGCCGTTGATCAATCCCTTTTTGGGATGCGGCACGCATTCTACTTCCATTTGTACATTCGTAGTGGCGTTTGAATGCGATGTGGCCTATACAATGACTTGCGGGGGCCAGCCGATGTACAAGTCAGTGTTTTTATCCTCCCAGACAAGTCTGGTACCAATTAACCGACCCCGGAGGGATGGAAGGCTTGGTTGGCCCGGGCGACTCACGACCCAGGATTTGATCCCCGGACCGCTCGCGTGGTAAGCGTGCCACTTGCCACTACACCACTTCCGCCCTCAAAGCGAGTTACTCGGGGTAAATTAATGAGGCACATTTACCGTACGTCATCGATCGATGTACGCAGCTCCTAAGAATGTAATTTTCAAGGCTCACACACTCTTAATAATTGTGCTAGTGATTTTGGTGTCCCCTACATTTGTATCAGGTGCAACATACGCCAACGAACAATGAAAGATGGGCTTTTATCAGCCGGACCAATAGGGGTATACGACGTTCCACGACAGCGTTGGAGATTCCAACTTCCAATATTTGACAGTTCCGATGTCGCAGAAGTGAAATTAGAAGAGTACCATGAAGGCAGATTTTGGAGCAGTGAAGAACGAGAAAAACTCGTTAAAGCAGAAGCACCCGACTCGCAGCATTTCTACAGAGTGCGGATTCGTGTCATTTGTTCGGTTAGTGTCCTACCCATGTGTGATCGCTACCACGCATTGGCCTTGTTCGACAGTGGGAATATGGAGCCTGAGTATTCGTAATTGTTAATTTAGTTGCCAGTGTACATTGCAAAAGTGCTCATTGGAGCGGTGATGGTGTGAACAAGAGGGCCAGCTACCGCGCGCATAGTCCCTGGATCAAAATCCCAGGTCAAATCCAGCGTACGTCAGCCAAATTTCTACAGGTGATTAGTTGTTGCAAGGAGCGATAGTTACTACACAAAACACATCGATAACTTAATTTTAAAAAAGTCGTAGTCTAAGGGTTCAAGTCGTTGACTTCCGCAACAAATGGAGTGCTGGGTTTTTCGATCCACTACTACTTCTTGATTCCAGCAGATCAGCTGCTCGAGCTCGCCGAACATTTTTTGGAAGCTTCTGATGGTAAGCCTCCACCAAATGTCATCTGTCGCTTTTGCTTTCGGTGGTTTACATCTGGTGATTGCGATGTCAGTGTCAGTGCTCAACGCTCTAACTAATTCAACATTTCAGCGACAATGAGCTGTTGGTATTATACGCCGAAAGGGATTGTAGGCGTACCCTTCCAAAATGACTGTTTTGAGACGTTCACTCGCAAAAGGAAGAATCTAAAATGAGCTAAGACCACTAGTATAATTTCTCTACATACAATACCGCTACTAATTTTTGTTCAATCGACGGTTTGCGACGGTCGGAAACCGTCGCAAACCGTCGGCTCGCCATAACTCTTTAAAAAATGGTTCGCTCGACCTGCAGTTTATACCATCTGATAGCTCTGCTCGAGATCTACAAGATGGTTAAATTCAATTTCTGAAAGAGCTCCATCTAGGATTGCGCCATGCACTCGACCTCCATCCCGAGAAGTAATGAATATACTTTGTATGTGATGCGCATATAAGTCCTCCTATGCAGCCTGATCATCCCACAGAAACATGGATCTCAACACCCTCAGAATACGCCACGTACCCAACCGGTCCACCATATGGTGAGATTGAATGAATGTTTTTTTTCGAATTTCACGATCTTTAATTCGTTCTAGAGCGCTAATTGGCTAACCGTGCGCTGATCAACCCATTCTTCCACTCCAAATGAGAATCTTCGAACAGTTTCCAGCAGTAGTAGTAGACCTATTATGTGACATTCCCCACATTTAGAGGAGATGATTTGCGGAAACCTGAGAAGATAGCCAGGAATCTCTCCACAGACGTAGACTCCAGTTACTTCTCTGTAAGATTGATGTAGAATATTTGGTCACGGGTAAGCGCTCCGTCCGTGGTGTGGCCCCAAACATCACTCTCCGTCATGCCCTAAAATGAAAATCAGAGTTTTTGCTCTTCCAGATGACTCTACAGAGCTGAGGGGTGCACCGTTCGATTTCCCATGAAAAATACTACCGAATGGTGTACAACTCAGGTTTCACACAAAACTTTGTTTTTCTCACTTTTTTGCTCCCCATTGCCGATCGTCCTCCCAGCCCTTGGCGCCACGTGCGATTTAGCGAGAAATTCTCTCCACCGACGTGGACTCCGGTCACTTGTCTGTAGGAAAGAGGTAGAATATTTGGTCACGGGTAAGCGCTCCGTCCGTGGTGTGGCCCCAAACATCACTCTCCGTCATGCCCTAAAATAAAAATCAGATTTTTTGGTCTTCCAGGTGGCTCTACGGAGCTGTGGTGTACACCATTCGATTCTCCATGCAAAATGCTATCGAACGATATACATCTCAGTTCCCACTTGAAACTTTCGTTTTTCACCGTTTTCGGCCTTTTCCTTATCGCCGATCGCCTTCCTCAGCCCTGGCCACCCACGTGCTATTCACGTGCGCGGTGCGTGAGAGCTCACGTGACAGCCGATGGCCTTTCTCGGTAGCTGGCGGGCAGCCCGATCGATACACCGCTATGCGTGTCGAAAGTGCGTGGGAAAGTCACCACGCACCGCGCACGTGAATAGCACGTGGGTGGCCAGGGCTGAGGAAGGCGATCGGCGATAAGGAAAAGGCCGAAAACGGTGAAAAACGAAAGTTTCAAGTGGGAACTGAGATGTATATCGTTCGATAGCATTTTGCATGGAGAATCGAATGGTGTACACCACAGCTCCGTAGAGCCACCTGGAAGACCAAAAAATCTGGTTTTTATTTCAGGGCATGACGGAGAGCGATGTTTGAGGCCACACCAGGGAAGAAACACTCGCTCAAGCCCGAGTGTATCATCTTTTTCCAACATACAAGTAAACTTACTCTACGATAGGGAAGAGAGTTCGTCCCTCCCTTCTCGAATTTCCTCAAAACATCCCTTCGAAAATTGGGAAATGTCACAAAATGGATCTAGTGGCAGGTAAACTAGATGTTCTCCAGAAAGTGAGTTGTATACCGTTCGACAGTATTTTTACCAGTTTAGCTCCGCCCGCTACCGCGCGCATGACACGGAAGCCTCTGACAAAACTGACAATCGGTGAAGCTTTGGGTTTCACCGCTTAACTATAGCTGCTTCGTTAAATGCATTACTGTCCGTTGCCCATCTTGGCTGTATCTCACTGTTTGATAAGCGCAGTGAAGTGCACAGCTAAAGTGATGTATGTAAACACCAATGCA